CTCTCTCTCTCTCTCTCTCTCTCTCTCTCTCTCTCTCTTTCTCTCTCTTTCTCTCATAGATATCTTCAATAATCTTATAGATTTATATTGATATAATTCAGAAATATGTTCTAATCATGATATAAATATTATAGTTTTGTAATTTAAAATTGATATTTTTATTTTGATAATATGAAATGAGTTCAAATGCGTTAAACGACATTTCTTTAGATAACCTTCATTGATTAAATAATTTTTCAACCCTTCATAGTCACACTTCCAAAAAGTCACACAATGGTGGGTTAAAACGATCCAAACTATTTTTTTATCTTACGAAATTTTTGAAATTAATTCCATTGACTTAAAAGAATTACAGTATATAGTTTCAGCTTTTAAGAAAATGGAACAATGGTGTTGTAGTAAAAATTTTAATTTCAACTTTAAAAGTTTACCTAAACGTGTTAACTTTGGAAGATGAATTTTTTAATAAAAAATTATAACTTTAGGCTTAAAATATTTTAGAAAATATTTTAGAAAATATTTTAACCTAATACCCTTGAGATAATGTACATTATGTTTAGCTCATTTTGACCTATGAAGACTATGAAAGACTAAGATAACTTTTTTTTATTTGTGTATATATCATTTCTTATCTTTTTTTCTAAAATAGAATATTCATTATTCCATTCTAACATCTCATATTCTTGAAGATTGGTTTTTATTGTCTCAAAAAGATAGTTGATACCTAAAAGTAACAAATATCTGATAAAATTTTATATTAATTTCCGAAAATTTTCTTTTGTAGAATATTATATTTTGAGAAACACTATTCTTTTACATCACATTTTATCTCATTACATTTACTTAAATAAAGTTTAAAAAAATTATTAAATGATAGCAAAAGGTTTAAATTGATAGTTTTGTATATAGAAAATCAGCGTTTTATATTTGGCAATTTTTTTAGGATATGCATCTGTTGGACATTCAATTTTAGTTTGTATGTATATTAGAGCGAGAAATTGTTGAAAGAGACCCATGTGCCGACAATTATGATTTTATAGTTGTTTAACGTTCTTTTATGTATCTACATGTGCAACTGTATGAATGCGTTAGTATATGAATTAGAAGACGGTACTAAAAACACATACTGGACTCTGATATCACGTAATACAACCAAAGACTTCATACACACACGCGTATGTCAAATAGCAGTATTCTAGGTCATTCGCGCTGGGGTCTTTTTGAATTCTTTGTAAGTCTTTAATAGTATAATTATTATGAGAGAATAAAGGATCTTTGCATAAAGAGAGAGGAGTGATCAAAGATTTGTTTCGAGATGGCTTTCATGATGATAGAAACATTTTTGAATTTTTCTCATCGAGATTAGGGAACTAAGTTAATAGAACTTTTTAAACGTGAATGTGCATTAGGATTCGTGTTTAAGCACTGTTTTGAACAGTGGGTGTGCGTTTACAAGACTTTATGCATTTATCCCGCAAGAGAATTGTTATTGTATAGTGATAACGGAAAGAAGATAGCTAAAAAAGTGACATGTATTTTTCAGATTGAAATATTTTTGAATAAAATGTATGTAATGTAAAAGATTGCCAGCTGTTTTTTTTTTCTTATACTTCTCATGAGTTCTTCAAGTGTGTGCAGTCTGCGGTCGATTGCCGTAGAAAATAGCATTATGTTATGTAGTCTTACGCAATGTCATACAACGAAACGATAGTCTGTGACTCTAACGCGGAAATATTAATACGTTGAACTTTGCATCATCAACAGTACTTACGAACTCTTTGTGCTCGGAGCTCCAACAGGACGGTATAGTATTTCATATTTGTATATATAATATGAGCATTCTTTGCTTTACTCGTATAATACGGGAATTAGCAAAGTGTTATAAAAACATCGTTTTTTAATCTTGTATAATTTTATTTATTCTATAACGTAAATTTTATTTTATTTTATATTTTTTATAGCGGAATATAGCAGCGCAATATGACAGCAGTACAATGGTATAAAATTATTCGGTATTTGTGCTGTCCTTACTCTCTTTGTGCTCCTCTTTCTCTTTTATGTTATATCTGATACTAAACGTACTGATATTAAATTCTCATTCAATATTTACTTATACTCTTGGCATGCGTTTAACATTAAATGTAATATTTTTCTGTATTTAAAAGCAATTTTTATATTGGATAAATTAAAATTGCAGATATACTTGTATCATACATTTGGACTTAATATCGTAATATATATACATATAAAGGAAATGCCATTACGAGCCAATACAAATTATTTGTATAACAAACGTATATTATATTTAAACAAATATTATAAGTATACGTTTCAGCCCTTTTTTTAGGTTATCCTCAGTACAGATAGATTGATAACTTTTGTGAACAAAAAATTAACCATAGATTTTACGTATGATGTCTAATAACCTGCAGTTGAATACCAGTCAAGATTTAATTATAAAAATTTAATTATAAAAATCAAGAGGATTGTCTACGAGATATAACTGTCAGGTGGATAATACGAAAATTTGTTTCGTAAGGCACATGCAATTATATATAAGGTCAGTAGTCATTGTTTGTTTCAAATAAATTAATTATCACGAATTAAATTATCTTATTTAATATATAAATTTATAAATACATTAACGTAATATGATTTTTG